ATATGAAATAGCATTTTCTGATAATTTAACTTGAAATTCTCTCATCTTTAGTGAATTAATAATGCTTTATCCCTTTTGATTAAACTGTTAGACATTTTCTTATTGACATAATTTTTTCTATATTAAATATTCTATATTAATTTTTTATATTAAAATTAACCCATTAAAGTGTGTCAAATATGGTAGCCATCAGCACCATATGGCTCTTGAACACTTGAAATGTGGCTAGTTCAAATTGTGATGCACACTAATTATAAAATACCAGATTTCTTTGAAAAAGGAATGGAAATATATCTTTTATAATATTTTATATTGATTACTTATTGAAATAAATTATTTTGGATATGCCAAATTAAATAAAATGTACTACTAAAATTAATTTCTTTAATTAAAAAAAAGTGATGTATTTATTTAAAAACAACCACCTTTTTTTAACTTTTTACACTAACTACTAGAAAATTTAGAATTACAAGTGTGGCTTACATTATATTTCCATGGACAGTGCTATCCTACTATGTGAGCTGCAAATTTTTTGCCCAGTTTATTTTTATATTATCAAATTCGTCAGTTTTTTGTTATGGCTTCTGAGATTTGTAATGGACCTAGAGAGGTCTTACCTACTACGGTACTTTTAAAACTTTTCCACAGCGGGTCCTAGTATTTTTATATTTTTATTAACATAGAAATCTTTGACTCATCAGGAACTATTTTGATGTAAAGTGTGAGGTTAGAATCCAATATTAATTTTTTAGAGGGTTAGAATAAACAGTATTGATTAATTTCACCCTTTTCCACTAATTGAAGTGTCATCACATCCTAAATATTCTAACATCAGGTAGGGCTAGTACCATATGTTTTCTATTTTTTTCCTTGAATTTTCCTGGTTATTCTTGCTTGTTTTTTCCTTTATACGAACTTTAGAATCATATATAGACTCCCAAATTTTATTGATATTCTTATAGGAATTGTGTTAAATGTTTACATTTGTTTACAGAGAATTGAAAACTGCCTAATACTGAGTTTCCCTCACCAAGAATATAATATACTTTTATATCTGTTCAAGTGTTCTTTAGTGTCCACAAGAATTACTGTAAAGATTTTATTTTATTTTATTTTATTTTATTTTATTTTATTTTATTTTATTTTATTTTTAGATGGAGTCTCATTGTCGCCCAGACTGGAGTGTGGAGTGCAGTGGCATGATCTTGGCTTACTGCAACTCTGCCTCCTGGGTTCAAGTGATTCTCCTGCCTCAGCCTCCTGAGTAGCTGCAACTATAGGCATGCACCACCATGCCCAGCTATTTTATTTTTTTGTTTTTATTAGAGACAAGATTTCACCGTGTTGGCCAGGCTGGTCTCAAACTCCTGACCTCAGGTGATCTGCCAGCCTTGGCCTCTCAAAGTACTGGTATTGCAGGTATGAGCCACCATGCCCAGCCAATTAAAGATTTCTTTGTATAGATTTTCACATCTGACAAATTTATTTCTAAATATTTTCTGGTGATATTGCTATCACAATGAAGTCTTTTCTTCTATTATGCCTTCTTTTATTTTAATATAGGAAGGATGATGATTGTATATATTAATTTTATAACCAAAGGCCTAACTGAATTCCCCTATTGTTTCTAATTTTTTTTTCAGTTGGCTCACTTTTTATATAATCAAATTTTAACTTTTATAATCTACAAGCAATTATGATTTGTCTTTTTCTTTTCCAATTTGTATACATTTTATTTCTCTCTTGTAAAATTGCATTGCTTAACACCTGTTAAGCAATAGATAAACGTCTATGAATAGTTGTGGTAGTAGACATTCTTGTCTTGCTCCTGACATTAATATAAATATTTCTGAGTTTCCTTATAGATTATAGCACTAGATTTTAGATTGAGATTAATATGTTGCACTAGGTTAAGGAAGTATCTATTGTCATTTATCAATAGTTTTGTTTTGTTGTTTATTTGCTTGTTTAGTAAGAATGTATGCTGGAATTTATCAAATGTCTCTCAGCATGTAGAAACATGACTTTTAATCTATTAGTGTGGTAGAAATATATTAATAGTTTCCTAATATTGAACCATCCTTGCATTCTAGAATAAACATACTTGCTCGTGGTGTTAGGTATTTTAATGTGTAAATAGATTTTGTTGAATAATGCTTTAATATTCATTTTGGTGTAATAATCCTGACAGTGATTGCTTTATTATTTTGGTTTTCTTCTTCAAGAACACCAATTATGTATCTTTGATTTATTTTTTATATATTCCACACCTATCATATAACCCTTTTAAACATCTTGTCTATTTATTCTTTTTACTAATTTTTTTCTAATTCTGTCTTCCACATCTCTAGCCATGCTTTCAGCAATGCCTGATCTTCTTTGTACAGTTTCCAATTAAATCTTCATTTCCCTTATATTTTTATTTGTTTTTCCCTTATTGTCCCAGCCATGTATTACCAGCACATGTTTAATTTACTTATGTTGTTTTGTGATTGTTTCCTATGAAAATGCATAGAAGTGACTTTACTCATTTTTTAAAATTCAAACAATACCTTTGGTCACAATTTTTATCTGCCTCATAAGACATTTTTCTAGGGTCTAGTTCTTGATTGCCACTTTATTTTCTTTACTCCCTTTTCCCCATTTTTAAAATTTCTTTGTGTGGATCTTACACTGATTCCTTTTTGACTACTTACAATGGAGTAAGTTTTTCTAGAATCAGCTATTTTTATTTTTATTTTTTAAAAATATGGAACGCTTCACGAATTTGCGCCTCATCCTTGCGCAGGGGCCATGCTAATCTTCTCTGTATCGTTCCAATTTTAGTATATGTGCTGCCGAAGCGAGCACCGAATCAGCTATTTTTAAAAGGCTCTGTGAGAGAGGTACGTGTCATGTTCCAGAGAGTGGGAATTTTTTTTTTTTTTTTTTTGAAAAGGAGTTGGGGCCGGGCGCGGTGGCTCAAGCCTGTAATCCCAGCACTTTGGGAGGCCAAGGCGGGTGGATCACGAGGTCAAGAGATCGAGACCATCCTGGTCAACGTGGTGAAACCCCGTCTCTACTAAAAATACAAAAAATTAGCTGGGCGTGGTGGCGCGTTCCTGTAATCCCAGCTACTTGCGAGGCTGAGGCAGGAGAATTGCCTGAACCTGGGAAGCGGAGGTTGCGGTGAGCCGAGATCGCGCCATTGCACTCCAGCCTGGGTAACAAGAGCGAAACTCTGTCTCAAAAAAAAAGAAAAAGAAAAAGAAAAGGAGTTGGATTTAGAAGTTAATTATTTTCACCTTTATTTTTCTCCATCCACTTGATATCAGAAGCTTTGAGTCATTCACAAAGCAAAGTTTCCACTGACACACCAACAGACTGCTTCAAGCAAGTATGGCTTTTTCCTACCACTTCTCATTCAGTTTTACTGCCTTTCCTTTTTCTAGAAACCTCACCAATTTGAGGCCCTGGCAAGCACTCACTCAAGTTGATATACCCTTATTGCTAGAGAACAAGTATCAGCAAACTATAGCCCATTGGCCAGCTGTCTGTTTTTATAAATAAAGTTTTATTGGAATATAGATATGCCTATTTGCTTATACATTATTGCTTTAGCACTACAATGGCAGAATTGAATAGCTATGGCAGAGACCATATGGCCCAGAAATTCTAAAATATTTACTATTTGGTTGTATAAGAAAAAGTTTTCTGCCCTCTATTGTAAAAAATTGCATTTACAGTTCAGTATATATCACTTAGAATTGTGCTTTTATGACTTTCTTGAAGCTCCAAATCCACAGGCATCTTTACTCTGGCACTTCCTACATCTTATCTCACTAAGTCTTCTCTCTCTCATTTAAAAAAATCTGTTGTTGCCTAGTTTTACAAAGGATAGGCTCTGCATTACTGTTTTTCTTGATGCCTTGATGTTTTGATTGGTTTTTCTGAGATATGAATGAGAAAATACTCACTTTGCTCTGAATGTTAAAATTGGAAGTCCTCAGATAATATTCCAAGAAATTATGTTTTCTTTTCATCTTTGGTTGGTGGTTTTTGACCATTAGATAGACAGCATACTAAATATCTGTATCCTAAATATATATAGATTTTTTCTCCTTCATTTAATGATTGTATGACTTCTGCAATTCTTTTAGTGATTTAGTTCTCAATGAAGAACATAAATACAACTTTAAGAAAATATATATACTAGGAAAAATTCGCTTTATATTTTCTGTTGCCCTAAATTCTGACTCATATTACAGTAAACAGTTCAGAATAATATTTACTACTTGAAACTTCACAAGTAATTACAAATAAATTGCATGCTATAAATATTTAAAAATAGGATCAATCTCAGCTTTAACCTCACATTTTTCTGCTAAGTCTTATTTCATCACATGTTGGGTTTATTTTAAAATTTAACCAAAATTGTTTTATCTTTAGTATATTTGGTAAAGATGTATTGCATAAAGATATAATATTTATATATTATAGAAATAGAAAGATATAATAGAAACCTATTTATATATTATATAAAAACATATAAAAATATATTTTTATCAAATATAATTATGTTTTTACCTAGAAATATATACTTAAAAGTAAAGTGTAATTCCAGTTGTATTTATACTGTTCCGAATTTCAGAAGTCTGTAATCCCAGCTACACGGGAGACCGAGGCAGGAGAATTGCTTGAGCCTGGGAGGTGGAGATTGCAATGAGCAGAGATCACACTATTGCACTCCAGCCTGGGTGACAGAGCTGGACTCAGTCTCAAAAAAAAAAAAGTCTGTCCACTTTTCTATCTTTTGTTTTTCTACTTTTTAAGAGTAGTCTGCCTCTGCAAGGTGTAATAAAGTATTAAAATTAAGTGTGATAAATGGCGTGAAGATATATATATATAAATTAATTTTTAAAGAGAATTTAAATTGCTATCTTTAAAATTCTTTTATAAATTTTATAAAACATAAGTATTTCCTAATCATTAATAGGTTTCAATGAGCTTTAGGAAGGAAGATGAGCAGAATGGATGAATAAATAAATAGAAGTAGATGAGCAGAAATATCAGAGATACAAAATACTGTATTAGCTTCCTTAAGAAACTTTCTATTATTTTTTAGAATCCTGCTTTATTCTCTTTCTTGAATTCATGGATGGCATTTAAAATCTCTTAAAGATGGTCATTTCCCCTCCCACCAGGTTCCAGGTACCACTATCTATAAAGTGTTTTCCCAGACACAAGTTTCATTTTTGAGTGTTGAGGTTTTTTGTTAAAAAAAGGTAATGGATTACCCTATATGATGAGATCAAGCTTTTGACTGGGAAATTTTGAAGTCAAAAGTAAAGCATAGGAATTCCTTAATGGACGTTTTAAAAATTTTGAAAGGCTAATGTAAGTGGAAGAAAGAGGGAAAATACGTTTCAGTAGGGGAGCTTCTCACCTCTTTACTCATAAGACAGCCTGGGCATCATATGACTTCATCAGCCTGCAACTTACTGTTCTCCACTTTGAGGGGAGTGGCAAGTGCTATAATAGAGAGTTCTCCAGTCTGAGGAGGTCAGCGAAAGCTTCCCAAAGGAGATGATGCCTGGCCAAAGGGACTTTCTAAGAAAAGTGATTAGCATGTGCAAAGACAAAGAGGCATAAAGACTGACCGGAGGGGTCACAGCAATGACAAGTTTACTGCTAACCTCGAAGAGAAGACTTTCACTGAATGAGGGGAAGATCGTACTACTAATGATTAAACTGTGAGTGTTCTAGCTTTGTAGACTTACCAGGAACTTGGGAGATTAAGAAGACAGGATCAAACAGCAAATGGAGCTTTATCAGAAATGGAGAAAAGTTTTTCTCCACCGTCCTAAACTAAACCGTTTTTACCAGTCCCAGTTCTTATATGTCCACCAAGGCAAAAAATGTTAATCAGGAACAGAAATGTTTGATTGCTCATTGCTCATTCAAATTTGAAAGGAGCAGCCTCCATGCTTCTAAACTTTGCCAGTGGGGCCATAACATTATTAATCAATATCAAGTCCGGCATATCATTAAATATCACCATCCAGTGAATGTCTGAGACAGCTGAAAGAAATTGAGGAATCCATGTAAGAATATTCATTTTCTATCATTACTTCTTTATGTACTATATCAAGATCTATTAGACTTACTTAACTATATATACGGATGTGAGGTTGGGGGTCCCTGCAAGTACAAAGTGTTTCTAGAAGAAATGCACTTGAACAGAATCAGTGTATAATCACTGTGAGAACAGCGTTCCATGTCTGACCTATGCTTGTCTCTAGTACCTGGAGCAGTGTCTGACACAGACATGTGTTGAGTGAATGGATGAATAAATAGATAGAAGGAAGATCCTTCAACTATTAAGTTTCTTCTATCCCTCTCCTGCTAGATGAGAGTGCCAAGAAATAAGATAGAAACGCCAAGAAGAACCAATTTGGGGTGAGTAGGCGTGCAAAGGATGACTGATTGATAAATTGGGTTTAGGAGTCAAGAGTTATGCTCTAACAATTGGGTATAGCAGAAGGTATTCAAATAAGAAATTGCTGGTATTCTTGCAAACAGCTTTTCTATGAAATTATGAGTTTAGAATTCTTCTTTTATTTTTGTTTTTTGTTTTTGAGGCAGAGTCTCGTTTGTTGCCAGGTGCCAGGCTGGAGTGCAGTGGTGCGATCTCGGCTCACTGCAACCTCTGCCTCCCGGGTTCAAGCAATTCTCCTCCCTCAGCCTCCCAAGTAGCTGGGACTACAGGCACCCACCACCACACCCAGTTAATTTTTGTATTTTTAGTAGAGACGGGGGTTTCTCCATGTTGGCTAGGATGGTCTCAATCTCTTGACTTTGTGATCCGCCCACCTTGGCCTCCCAAAGTGCTGGATTACAGGCGTGAGCCACCGCGCCCGGCCTCTTCCTTTATTTCAAAAGAAAAAAACTTAGAAAGGTCAATTGGAACCAAAAGGGAAATTTAAAAGTCACAAAGAGAAACAACTGTGTGTCCTGGTGTGCATTTAAAATAAGAAGGTAGTTAAGCAAAATCATTGTGTTGAGGACATTTTCTTAAATAGGATCAATTACCAGTGTCCCAGACAATTCCACATGTCTAGAAGCTTGTCTACCTATTTCACTGACCTAGGCCTAAAAATGGTAATAGCAACTTGGTGGAGTCAGTTAAAGCTTGACCTTTCCTAACCAACCGGCAGCCCCATAGGACCGTATTAATCACTGCAGTTTTTACCTTGTACCAGATACTTAGAAAGTAAAATCGAAGAAATTTATTTCCATGTGTTTCAGTTGAAAAAAAGAGAGATTTCACTCAATCTATTCCAGAAAATATAGCCACTTTGGGACTGAACATTTCTTTCCATCTTAGCCCAAAGGCAATCACATTAGGGACGTTGTATGCAACTGGGGTGATAAAAATTGAGCTGTGGTCTAACCTATTGCATAATTTTCATTCTAAAATTACTTGACGCTGGACATAATGACCCCATCAGTCAACCTATCATCTGGCTAGTTAAATGAAGTAAGAAAATAACCCCAGCTGGTCTCGAAGGAGTGGAAATTCAACTGCCTGAGGGGCTGAGACTTCCTGAGAGTTTGTTCTAGATCTCTGTCGGGTCAGGCAGCATGCAATCTTACCTTCAGTCTTCACAGAAAAGCCCATTCAGGCCAAGCGAGAAGCCGCTTTAGATGAAGCCTGTAACCCAAGATGGAAACACGTAACTAGGCCCAAAACACGTTTTTTTCTTTTTGGTGGGTCCAGTGCACAGTGATTGTTCCTAATTACGAGGTCTGACTTGAAAAGTTCTCCCCAAATGCCGGGAGAAAGTTCTCCTTAAGTGTCTTTGCAAAAAGAATACAGTGGGACAGAAAGTCAGTATTGATTTAAAGAACACAGCTGTATAAACAATGTTCGTTCACTACAAGAAGAAAATTTATAGTATTTGTCAGGGAAAAGTAAACACGTTCGGGACTCTGCTTGTGACACAGTGTCACACATGATCCTTTGAGCCAGCAGAGACAAGAACAAATCAGAAACAGAAGCAGCTTTCTCATGATGCTTGGGGGCAGCACTTTTTTTTAACATAACACATTTTCTGCTTCATATTTTAAAAGGACGCTACATTCAGACCATTGATATGTCTGTGGATGTTGGGAAAAGACAGGAAACTAGATTGATGAGTCTTCTACCATCCCCATTCTCTATATTTTCTGGAAAAAAAACAATTAAAAAAAAAACTAAATTCTATTAAGAATTTCGGTGGTTGTAGGCATTCACTCCTGTAGCTATTTTTCCCCCAGGTTTGGGATTTGGCCCAGCCTTACAGCAAAGTTTTCCACACTTTAAATTTCATGGAGAGTTAAAATTGGTTTTAAACCCAATGCAGAGTTTCCATCTTTTAATTTTACAAAGAAAGTTCATCAAAACAAAACAAAATGTTTCTACCGTATATGATTACCTTTGCTTTCTATAAGAAATGAATGTTTTAGTACCAAAAGGGAAAGGCAAGAAAACCAAGGGTAAAAGCCTCAAAATAAAGGAAAACGCCAATCCTTCTCATTTAGCTATTGCAAGTTGAAGACTATGTCAGTAAGTGACCCTGGTCCACACATTGGCATTTGGAAATCACCGCATTAGGGAATCGGCCACCGGAAATGTCTTGTGCCAAGAGATGTAGAACGCAGAGGTGTTTTGTTGTGTGTGGTCAAGGCAGAGATATTGTACCCATAGTCATTCATCATACCCATGTCTCAGCAATCTGTAAGTGTTGTAAAGGGGCCTTGGGAGGAATTCAATTGTGAAGTTTTTAGTTTATTTTAAAGTTTGGCAAAATCTATATTATACATCCCTAGATTCTTAAATATTTAAGGCCCAGTATAATTTCAAAGAGCTTAATGATGTTTTCCTTTTAATGAATCTTGACCCCAGAAATGCATTTTTAAAAGTAGCATTACAGTGATAGAAAGTCTGAATATTTTCAGGATACCTTGTGGTACCAGTGAACATACACAGACTTCCTAGGGGTTTCATGCAAGAAGGTGCATATGCGTGTGCTTGCACAGGTATACATGTGTGCTTGCATGTGTGTGCCTGCATCTGTATGCATGTGTGTGCATGAATGGCAGCTGGAAGCACCTTCCAGGGAGAGCCCAACTTTTGCTTGTCAGGCCCCCAGAAAACTGCAACCTGTTGCTCTGACTTACATTGACAAACTATAAAGATCACTTTTGGTCCTGTATAGAAGACATCTAACCGGAGAAGGAAAGTGAAAATTGGAAGAGTTTAAGCAGAAACTGAATGTTAAGGACCAACGGAAAGCCTTTAAAAAGAGAACTACAAACCACTGCTCAACAAAATAAGAGAGGACACAAACAGAGGGAGAAACATTCCATATTCATGGTTAGGAAGAATCAATATTGTGAAAATGGCCATACTACCCAAAGTAATTTACAGATTCAACACTATCCCCATCAAGCTACCAATGACCTTCTTCACAGAACTGGAAAAAAACACCTTAAACTTCATATGGAACCAAAAGAGAGCCCACATAGCCAAGTCAATTCTAAGCAAAAAAGAACAAAGCAGGAGGCATCACACTACCGGACTTCAAACTATACTACAAAGCTACAGTAATCAAAACAGCATGGTACTGGTACCAAAACAGAGATATAGACCAATGGAACAGAACAGAGGCCTCGGAGGCAACACAACATATCTACAACCATCCAATCCTTGACAAATCTGACAAAAACAAGCAATGGGGAAAGGATTCCCTGTTTAATAAATGCTGTTGGGAAAACTGGCTAGCCATGTGCAGAAAGCAGAAACTGGACCCCTTCCTGACACCTTACACTAAAATTAACTCCAGATGGATTAAAGACTTAAACATAAGACCTAACACCATGAGACCCCTAGAAGAAAATCTAGGCAAACCTTCAAGATGTAGGCGTAGGCAAGGACTTCATGACCAAAACACCAAAAGCATTGGCAACAAAAGCCAAAATAGACAAATGGGACCTAATCAAACTCCACAGCTTCTGCACAGCAAAAGAAACAGTCATTAGAGTGAATCGGCAACCAACAGAATGGGAAAAAATTTTTGCAGTTTACCCATCTGACAAAGGGCTGTGATATTCAGAATTTACAAAGAGCTAAAACAGATTTAAAAGAAAAAAACAAACAAGCCCATTCAAAAGTGGGCAAAGGATATGAACAGACACTTTACAAAAGAAGACATACATGAGGCCAACAAACATGAAAAAATGCTCATCATCACTGGTCATTAGAGAAATGCAAATCAAAACCACATTGAGATACCATCTCACGCCAGTTAGAATTGGGATCATTAAAAAATCTGGAGACAACAGATGCTGGAGAAGATGTGGAGAAATAGGAACACTTTTACACTATTGTTGGGAGTGTAAATTAGTTCAACCATTGTGGAAGACAGTGTGGCAATTCCTCAAAGACCTAGAAATAGAAATTCCATTTGACCCAGCAATCCCATTACTGGGTATATATCCAAAAGACTATAAATCATTCTATAAATCATTCCCATTATAAGGACACATGCACACAAATGTTCATTGTGGTACTGTTTACAATACCAAAGACCTGAACCAACTCAAATGCCCATCGATGAGAGACTGGACTGGGAAAATGTGGCACATATACACCATGGAATATTATGCAGCTATCAAAAACGATGAGTTCATGTCCTTTGTAGCAACATGGATGAACCTGGAAACCATCATTCTCAGCAAACTGACGCAAGAGCAGAAAATCAAACACCACATGTTCTCACTCATAGGCGGGTGTTGAACAATGAGAACACATGGACACAAGGAGGGGAGTACTACACACTGGGGTCTGTTGGGAGGAAATAGGGGAGGGACAGTTGGGGGTGGGGAGTTGGGGAGAGAGAGAGCATGGGGAGAAATGCCAGATACAGGTGAAGGGGAGGAAGGCAGCAAATCACACTGCCACGTGTGTGCCTATGCAACAATCTTGCATATTCTTCACATGTACTCCAAAACCTAAAATGCAATAAAAAATAAAGAAAAGTAATCAGAGAGGTGAGAGGAAGAACACCAAGAAGATGCAGTGCTTATATATGCCAGACCTCTTAAAAGGAGTCCTCAGGCTTCCAGTAATTCATGGCTTTACCGAGAAGAACCCCATGAGCTTTCTCCTGTATATAGCCCTCCTATCTGTTAAATAGACATGTGTAAAATTGGCTAAAATCTCCTGTCCTAGAAAGTATTGTGATGATGGGCATTTCTGAGAGGGAAGTCTGCTCACCTGTGAAATGTTTCTGGCAGCAACTCTGTGGCTCAGCCCAGGAAGGAAATGGACACCTCAAATGGGTTTGGCATTGAGGTTCTCTTCCCAGCCATGCCAGCCATTGCCAGCCTTCCAGCACTAGCCAGGTGGCCTGTGG